AACCCATTCAAATCCTCAATGTAATATTTAATTCTAAATAGGAAAATTAGTAGGAGTGCTCTGCTTGCATACAGAACCGTGAAGACTTTTTTTTGCATACTGTCATTACACAATGCTATAAAAATCCTTCCTATTTGTTGTCTTTTAGATGTCTGACACACCTGCATTTCAAGCAAATGTTTCAGCTGGAAAGGGAGTGTGTGTAAAACCTCTAGGCATCCAGCAATAGGTACTGCCTTCATGTCAGAAAATCTGCTATTGATTGTGATGGGAACGGGCTAACTTTAGATGTGAAATGGTCAGATGCTCTCTTCCACCAAAATTAACATGCATTTATTTTAGAAGATAATTTACTATGCATTTTTCACTACCTTCCTTAGAGTTGATGATAGAAAGTATTACCTAAAATAGTAAAGATTCAAGACTTGGACAGAAATCTGTTGAAACAACATGCTACAATGTGGTTGTAGTTACTGTGCATGCAGTGTTAACTCACTGTATAAGGGAGGGGAAGTTATCCCAAAAATACTTCTTTAAAAACTGGGGGAAAAATCTTCAAAAAAGACAAACTGGAGGAATAATTGGCAATAACTGAAAACTGAGCTTGTTACAGGTTCAGATGGAGGGAGCATGGATTTCAGCAGCCAGAGCTGAAGATCCAAGGGGAGCGACAGCTGAAGGGTGTTGGGCAGAGTCCCATGTCACACACCTCCCAAGAGGGCTGGTGGTGTGGGACAAACCCTGGAAAAAGTGGAGCAGCTGGGGAACAAGAGAGAATGGAAGCAAGGAAAAAAATCAAACTGAGAGAGCAGTAAAATACACTGAACCAGAAACTGGGAAATAAAATTAATTCAATGGAAGACAAAGCTAGAAGCACCTGAGAAAAGCAGAGGAACAGTAGAGAGGAAAGGTACACACGAGGCTTCTGCTGAAATATAAGTTAGAGACCAAAATGGGGAGGAACTAAATGCAGAACTGGCAGCTTTTGGTATTTAGTATCCTCTGTAATTCCCTACATCAGAGTAAAGAGAATCCCACCCTGACCAGAACTCTTTCTAGATCATTTAGTTGTTTATTAAGCATATTATACAGTCATAGAAATTAGGGGGGAGACAATGCATTTATTTAAAAATTAGCTGTTAAGCACCTGTGCCTCTTTTTAATGAGTAATAAAGCTCAGAAGACACGGCTATTTTCCACAGAGAAAGACAGCTGTTGCTGGTTATAATCACAAATTATTGTAACAACTAAGAGCTTCCTTTCAAGGGCTAGCGTGTTGGTTGCCACATGCCAGAGGGAAATGCTGCACAAAGCCCTTGTCTGTTCATTTACTCCATGACACATGCCATGTAGCAGGAGAGAAGGAATTTCCTTAGGAGTCATCTCCTACAACTGCTGTACTCTGTACGCTGAGGAAAACCCTGAAGCAAATTTCCCTGAAGCAAGTTTTGCAGACCTGCTTGAGCATGACAACAAGGCTGACTAAAGTAAGGTAACTCCAGCTCCTCTTCCACAACTTCTCCAACCTGAAGATCAGACAAGTTGCTAGACAAGATGCTTCCAGTAAACTTGAATGATATGCCTGTCTTTAACTACAGGTCTTTTAAACTCAGCATTCACTTGCAAAGCAAGCAGAAAATCTTATGGGCATCAAGATTAACCTCTAATCCACGTAGTCCTTTACATGAAGTACAGCATCCTGGAAGGTGGCTGTTATCAGTGACAATGCTGTTTACTTGCACTGTTTGGCCATATCTAGATGTCAAGCCACGCTGGCCTGGGGCTATAACAGCACAACATAAGTGACTGCTGTCATAAAGACCTGCCTGTCTAAAATGGAGAAAAGATGAGCCAACAAGCACCATGAAGGTGGGTGCTCTATACACCATACTGAATTGCCTTCAACTGCCCAGGTTTCAGACACAACAAGATAGCTGCAGTGCAGCAGAGAAAAGAAAATAATTTCATTTCAAATGAGACTTTGTATTATTCTTAAAAAACATCCTCATAATCATGAGATTGAGCTTTGCAGTGTTACTGCTCTCTGTACAGAAGTCAGAGGCCCACAGCTGTATAATCCTGTTGGCACTCGTTAAGAGTCTGGGCTGCTGCCATCATGACAAAGCACAAGTTGATTTGAGGAAATAATTAGGATATGGGCAGTATTCTCCACCATTTCAATTCCTACTGCACCGTAAGTGACTGAAGACGTGCTGCAGTGCACATCCAGGAGCAGCATCTGCCTGTATGCGAGATCATGACCAGAAGGCCATGAACTGTGAGCTGGGCTTACAGGGCCTTCCTCACCCACAGCAGCAACTCTTTTAACAGCCACTCCAGAAGCAATATGGGGTCAAAAGTCAAAGTCACTCTGGAAATTACATCTTTTGACACTTTTTTGAAAGTCAAGACCTCCTCTTGCAGTTTCTTTCACAATAACAAGTAAATAAATTTGCCATGCTCTTGGTAATTTCCAAGATATACAGATTACTTTCTAAACAAATGCCTAGACTCTTTTTTTCCTCTTCGTTCTCCATTTTAACAGCAACACCCTGCACAAAGGTCTAAATGCATCAAGGCCTCAACCTATGTTCCACTCACAGCTTGCTTTCTCCTCATGAAACACTGAATTTTGTATAAATGAAGGAAACTGAAATATGAAATGTTACCAAAACCAACACAAAAATCAATATATCCCCTGACAGCAGTTTTTTAAAAAGTATTTTTAGAAAAGCAGGTCTGATCTGTAAGGGCAGGGAGCCAAAAGCCCACTTCATGAAGAATAGGATTTGAGTAACCTAAACAACATGCTGGAGACACTGCTCCTAGACTGAATGCTGAACCAGAGATGTACAAGTTAATAAAAGCCAGTGCTGTCACATCTGGGGTTTTCAGGAGATTCCTCCCCTTGCAAAGTTCAGAACCAAGAAGGGATAGTTAAGAGCGCTGGTGACATTCCTTCATGTCATATTATGCCGGGAAATTAAAGACTTCTCTCTCAAAGAGTTTTTAATAGAAAATATTCTACATCTTTCATTAGAAACAATTTCTTTTTTAAGTCATTGCACTAGTGCCAATGGTGTCAGTAGATGAAAACCCCAACAAAGGAAAGGCACAGCTTCCAGCTTTAGCACTGTATATATTCAGTATTATTGTAACAGTTCTTCATGAAGTAAAGGCTCTCAAATCTTTGAGTTATGCGGGATTTCCAGAAAGAATAAGGACTTATTCACAAGACAACTAATCCTGACATCTGAACAGACATTCCAGAGTCAACCCCGTTCACAGCAAACAAAAGAGAGATTACAATGCAATGATAGTGGCCACAAACTTTGGCTTCCATCAGAAAAAAAAGCTTCAGTACTCACATTTATTTTGCAAGAAGGACAAATTAAACTTTAATTCAAAAAAGCAGCACAATAAACAGTTTGGTCTAGAAACAGGATTTATGTTTCTAGGACAATCAATAAGACTAAATTAAAAGCATTGAACAGACTTGAAGAAATATTACTTAATAGGGGATGTTATTAACATTTGAAATCCTGGATATAATGATCTGAAATTCTCAAGTTGCATAGAGAGTGTATATGTTTGTGACATTTTTTTCTACTACCTGGTCATATTCCAGTGCTCCTGGGTACAGTGGCCATCCAAGAAACAGCTCTGCAATCACACACCCTAACGACCACATGTCTATGGCTTCACAAAACGGCAATCCCAGTATGATCTCTGGTGCTCTGCAAATTAAACACGGTTACTGAATATTTTTTCCTTAGGGAAAAAAGGTGAATCAACAATACAACATGACAAAGTAAAAAAACAGAACCAAATATGTTGTTTGAAAACACAAGCTAAATATTGTAACTAAATCATAACATCAAAAATTGCTTTTTTTTAAATCTACATAATCCGTGGTAAAATGTTGCAGTTCTGCCATGTTTTTCTCCTACAAGTAGCAGTTTGCTACATACACCAAAATAACTGATATGCCTGAAAAACAAAATGTCACTGATTCAACATTTTTGCCTTTCCTCCAGTATATCCTGAATGATTTGTCCACTCAGTGTCATATGCCTGTAACTACATTCTAAACACAACATGGTCTTTTATCTCAAAAGCAAAAAACCAACATGTTTTAACCTGGAAATACACTTGGACCCTCCCCAACTGGACAGTACACGTAAATCTATTTAAAATATCAGTTTAATTACGTAACTGCAAATCCCCTAATACACTCAAATTAGTTCAATGTGATCAATTTTTAAATCACTTAAATGAAAACCACTGCACTTGCTAGAGATCAGGTCTTATTTTTCCCCTAAAACATATGTGAATTATTTAACCAACAGCATCTGAATTTATTTCTGTACTCAAGAACCAGAAAAATTGGTATTGACACAGCTGCTAAAGGGGCTTTTAACATTCCTGTTCATGTGGAACAAAACTCAAGTATTTCACAGATATCCATTTTAATTGCATTTGTTCTTTTCAAACCTTCTGTCCCATTTCATTCCAGCTATTAACAAAAGGAAAAATAACTAAAATATGCATGATGATATAGAAAGAGGCCTGGAGACATTAAGTATTATTTAAAGCTTTACACTATAAAGTAATTTACTTTTAAGACACACAATCTGTTGTTAACTTAATATGCCACAGAACAGTAGGAGGGTGGTTAAATCTTACAGGGTAATTCCCACTACAGCTGGGCAGAACAGCAACAGTCAACTGACCAGGTAACACACTAGTGGGGAAAACTGCAGTTTCTCACCTGTGTAAAAGCTTAAAAATCTTATACTTCAGTATATGGTGGTGTATCACATTGACATTCCACGTACAAACAGAATCTCTGACCATGGTAAACTCCGACTACCTCATTTATCTTCTCCTCTGACATCTACCTTTATCAAAATACTTTTTAATTCACCAAAATATACTGGTTTGGGAATAAATTCCTATTATCATGCTACATTGGGACAGAGAAGCTATTCTGTAGTACACAGTAGACCAAGAGCTGAAACATCTTGATTCCTTTTCACAAGGGGTAGTTGGTAGAGGCTGTATGTAGACATACTCCGAGCTGCAGGGATGTGCATTTATCGTGTGGGAAGGACTCCCAACACTCCGCTCCATTCCTGACCAATGAAACTACCCAGGCTTCTGCTACGGAGAAAATCTGAGACTTTCCACAGATAAGAAAGTCTACAGGACAGGATATTCTGTTAAATATTTATGCACTTTCCATTCATTCCAGTTCAGCTCTTCCCATCCTTGCCACAAGCCATTTCGGATGTGATTATATGAAGGAATAAATCTTGTCACCCTGGCAGTGAAACTGGAGAGGCTTCTTTTTCCACTGCCTCCAAAGATTTGATTACAATAAACTTCTAGGGATCAAACATAACATATTTTCGTAATGCAGGATCATGACACTGCAGTAAGTATTAGCTAGTTTCGTTATCTGAGAAACAAATTTAATATATCTAGATGCCACAAGACTAGAATTAGCCGTAAGAAACTCGTGCGTCCAGCCACTGGCTGGGTGCCAACCTGTGCATGGTTGTTACAGATCTCTGTTAAAATACACTTCCTTTTGTTGTATTGTGTTACAGCCCTGAATAGTTAATGGACATACACACAGCCTATGGATATAGGGGCTTTAACAAATGCTTCTGCTAAAATAAGCTCTTTAAAACCTCTTATATTTACTCAATGGTTAATATGTGCACCATATAAAAATAGCCACAGTCAGTCAGTCTGCCTCTTTTGAGGGACAGGGTTCCCAATAGATGAAGGATAAGGGTAGATAGGATGACAAAATAAAAACCCCAACTTCTTCTGTATTTCACAATATAATAGTCTTCAGCTTTTCATGGGTACCAAGGAGTTCTGTGACACCAATAAAAGTGCTAACAAATCTAAGGAGAGGGGAAGCAGTTGAGACACCACCACTGCTCCTCTCTTCCCAACACTTGACCTACCACCCAGAAAGAAAAGGGAATAAATGTGCTCCCAAACAGGGCTGCCCACACCTCACTATGCTACAGTGGCCAAAAATAATTTCTGGCTAGCCTTAATTAGGAAGATAAAGAGCTGCTGCTCCACAGAAATGCCAAGTTTGCCATTTTTCAGGTTCAACATCTATTATGGCTTCATGCTGGTCCTTAAAATGGAGCAACTCTCCCATAGCAGGAAAGGTTATAAGAGAAAAGAGAACTTGTACTGGATTTGAATATGTTTAGATTGTTGCGAGTTGTTTTCTCTTTCTCTCTCTCTCTTTTAAATTGCCAGTTACAATCTATTTGGACAATTGGGGAGGAAAGAGTTAAAGAGGAGGGAGTAATTCTTCCATTTTTATTTTTTAAGATGAACCACAGTTGTTTTTTCATGTAAGAAATATTTTTGCATACAACTTAAAAGAAAGCTATCTCCTTTCCTACCTATAACTATAGGCATTAAGTGGTAGGAACTCCAGATGTCCCAACATAGTCACTTTAACATCAGATTCCTCAAAGAAGACTGTAAATTAGTACTCCTCTCCCTCAAAACACCACCACACACACACACTACTGCTTGGTATCTGCTGCAGATGACAAGGTGCTCGTTACACCAGAAGCTATTGTAGCCCCCATCTTCGTAAACTGCATCTGTTTTCCCATGCCAAGACATCAACCAGGAGAAACCAGAATTTTCTGCATTTCTTAAGGATACCAAATCCTACTTAAATGAAATTAAAGGCAAGATTTTACAGAGAAAGCATCTGTTTCCTTCTTATAAATGCTAACTCCTTGTCAATGTTAATTGAACGTTAATTTCTTATTAATGTTAAATAAACATTAATTAAAATGTTAACAGAAAACCTTTTTTAGAATTTAAAATGCAATACTGCCACACTGGAAAGATTCACTTCATTAAGCAATAATTCCTTTGTTAACACATCTGAAACTTTCCTTTCTTGCTTGACACAGCAAAGCTCAATTCAGCTCTCTTGAACCAGACTTTTCAATTGGAAATATGTAAAAAGATGGAAGATGCAAATTAATATTTGCTTCAGCTGCTTCTATAGTCACATGTAAATTTATTATATCACAGACCTTGAATATATGTATTATTTTATAAGGTTTTGTAAGCTTATGAAGAAAGTAACCACAACATTTGATCTGTTAACTTGCTTAAAGGGCAGAACATTTCATAAAATAATTTAGCTTCAGCATGTTAAGACAGCTTAGAATGAAGCAGCAAAATAAGCACATTTGAAGACAAGTTAAATAATTCCTTGAGAGTTAAAAACCAACCAAACAAGCAAAAACTACACAAAAACCAAATCCTTAACATAATAAGAGAAGAATTCTTCCAACCTTTATACTGGGGGAACAAAGACTAAAAAGCAGGAAGTAGCCATATTAAAAAAGAAAAAAAAGTCATTACAAAAATTGTAATAAGTCAAGTCATTTCAAATGGAAATTACCTAGAAGTCTTTGGTCAGAAATCCAATTTAGAACAAAAGTTAAAGGAAATAGCTAAAAATCAACAGTTAATGTGCATAACACCAACTGAAGAACAGTATAAAACAATAATAACAGCTTCCTGGAACTGCTAACCTTATGAAAAAAAAAAAAATCCTGTTGAATGCACAAAGAAATTTCTCAAATAAGTTCCCACTGACAGTCCTGTACAAATTATATGTACTCCCCCACATATCAAGGACATGACATTAAAAACTAAGACATTTTTATTTCTATTTCTCTTCTGGAAGTACGAAAGGGTCAATGTATCTGCTGTCTACCACATGCCATTGTTTTATTTATTGACCACCAGGTTGCCACTCTCCAGATGAGAGAAGGGTATATAAATAGCCTTCCTCCCCTCTTGTCTCCCACTCCTTTCAACACATCCATGTGATTTCTCTCCAAGCCTAAAACTTTTAGTCACCACTTACACCAATTTCCATGCCAGAAGCTGAAGGTAGCAGAGCCATATGAGGAACACAGAGCTGCTACTTCTCCCCAGGTACTATTGCCTACTCCAGAGATGCTGGACATTGGGAATGCTGGTATATCCTTGCCAGTGAAATTCCCTTCAAATAGGCATCTAGGCCCTATCAAGCCATTTTGACTTTGCAACTTGAAACACTCTGAGTAATTTACACCCTGCTCATATAAGCTAAACATTATTGCCCCTCATTACCACTGTTCATTGCCACGATGTCAAATACTTCATAGACTGATAGGCATCATAGAATGGTTTGGGTTGGAAAGGACCGTAATGGTCATCTAGACACTTTCCACTAGACCAGGTTGCACCAAGCCCCATGCAACCTGGACTTGAACACTTCCAGGTAGCAGGCATATCTCTATTTCACTTCATCTGCTCAGGATACAGCACACTGGCATCATTTTAATGAAAACTTATCCAAATAAGTCATCAAAAGGGTAGGATGTTGATCCACCCTATAGAGAGCCACCCTATGGCTCAAAAGAACTCATGTAAACCAATCCTGTTTGCAAGAGTTATAGTCACAACGAATTATGTACCTGACCCCCACTACCCCTACTATCTTAACACAAATATTCCATGAAAGAAATAACTAGATAAGAGTTGTGAGATGTGTAGTTCTTCTTCTAAAGAAAGGAAGTCTAAGAGGAAGATCAGATGCAGTGATGAAGTTAATGACAGGTGGCAATGGGTGCTGTAACAAGAATTCTCAGGTACAATTCATTTTCTTCAGCTACCAGTC